ACCCTTGCTTCCAAAGATTGAATCAGAGGGCTCCCTTGCTGAACTAACTGTTAAAACAGGGCAGTCCAACCCAGAGCGGGCCTGGATATAAAAATAAGTAAATAGTTCCTTCTCTTAAAAAGCTTACATTCTACTAGGGGATACAACTGGCACACAAATAAGTAAAAACTAGACATTTTAGGCAGAGGTAAAGAACTAGTAATTAGGAGGATGAAGAAAGACTTCCTTTAGGAAATATCGTCTGTGTTGAGCCTTGAAGGAAGTTAAAGATTCTAAGAAGAAGTTATAAAGTATAAGTACTTTCTAAGTAATAAGGGGCAGTTTACAAAAGGTCTTATTTTGAATAGTTTAACCTTTTCTTCTAGAGTTCCAGAATATTCTCATTTAGTCAACTATTGATTATTATTCAAATGAGATAACACAAGCACTTAGCACAATGCCTGTCACATAGACTATACAATGGTTAGTTATTTTTAGATATTGTTGTTGTTGTTATTGTTATTATTATTACAGAAACCTGTAGTTCTTTTGAGTTTAAAGCTTAGATAAAAACATCCTAGAGCTGTATCAGGCCTTACTTCCTTACTTTTCCAAAAAAAACCTTTAGGCAGATTGTTAGTGTTTTATTCTTGTGTGAGGTGGGGAGAGAGGGGTTAGAGGAGGTGGGAAGGAATGTTTATCAGTTATTTTTGAAATTAGATTTTCCGTATGGAATAAACTTAAGCCCATGGTAGGTTTGCTTTTTCCTCTCACATACTCCTTATCAAGGAACAGAATTTAGTGGAGTCATGCTAGAGACTGCCCAAGTCATCAAAGATCTTGAGTAGATCTTACTGTGAATGGTAAACAAGCTTCAAAAGAAAGACCAGGCCCATTTTAGGAAAATATGATATACAAAACTCCAAGTATTTAAAGAGAGTGATGAAAATTTCTTCCAAATACGTCTCCATTTATGGGAGACATAGCGCCTAGGTATCTGTGTTTGCTTCCAGACACTTACCTACTTAGTTGAAGGTAAAAAAAGGGAGTAGGAGAGAGAGTTAAGGGGTTATGGGCTGAGAAACATTAAGCTGAAGTATGAACAGCTACTGACTATTGGAGCAAAATCAGCCATGTAAATAAAAAATGCATAAGATTACATTTGGAAATCAATGGAATAGTGTTTTTTTTTCATATATAAAAACAGAGTTGCTTACAACTTCTCAGAAGCACACTTATTGTATAAAGCAAGGCATCCCTGTACTCCATGGATGAGGAGATTTTTCTCTTTAGTTATAAATGAAAGTAATTTCCTGTATGTTCTCTCACATTCTTGTAATATAAGCTTAAATGCTTTTCAATGTAGGCATAGAAGAAAAAGCCAGTAGATCTGGGTTCAAATCCCATCTCTGTAAATTAATAACTATCAGATCCCATGTCTTTATCTCCCTGAGACTCATCTATAAAATTAGGAAGTTCAAAGATCCACCAGGGACTTTAGATACCATCTAGTTCAATTTCTAGTATACGTAGGACCATTTACAACTCTGAGTTTTTGATTCCCAGCAAATTCCAGGGCATAGTCCTAAAAGATAGCATTTGACAGCAAACCTGCATCAAAACAACTTCATAGAATGATAGATTAACAGCTGGAAGTGATCTTAGAAGCCATATTATCCAACCTCCTGTTCGTAGAGATGAGGAAACTGAGGAAAAGAAAGGTTAAATTACTTGTTTAAACAGCTAGGATAGCACCGAGCTTGGAGTCAGGAAGAACCGACTTCAAATCCAGCCTCATATATTTACTAGCTCTGTGACCCTGGTACAAGTCAGTTCATCTCTGCTTCAGTCTCCTCAATTATAAAATGGGGCTAATAACAGCACCTACCTTCTGAGGTGCCTGACACACAGTAGACATTATGTACATGTTTATTCCCTTTCCCTTCCCTTTGCTTGGGTCATGCAAATTGTGTCCCTCTTGGAAAAGTCCCCAACTCTTGACTTCAACTCTTGTTGGGGACCTTACTTTAAGCATCTCTTAAGGTTTGTTTGGTTGCTTACTTCTTATCATCCTACCCTTTTAACTCTGAACATCCTGCTCTAGAGTCCATTCTATCCTGTTGAAAGAGTCTACGGCTGTCACATGACTGACTTTATTAGCCTACTCCCAGTCATTCTTCATATTCTTTCACACTGACCATTTTCTTGGAATTCACCTGGCCCACCACTATATCCCCCTCCCCACCCATTGCAATTACCATCTACTCTGTTACTGAGAAAGCATTTTCTCCTTCTTCTAGCTCTTAGGTTTCAACCTCTGGAACTGTAATGATTGGCAATAATTCTGAACTGGTCATTGGTAATAGGAGACATGTGATAATTTCGCTATGGCTCTACTCACCATTCCAGTGACTTCCCGGACCAAAACAGTTCTTTTTAATCATCACTCTCATATATGTGTGTGTGTGTGTGTGTGTGTGTGTGTACTGCCTCTTCCTTTGAAATTCCTTGAGGGCATAGACTGCCTCACTTTTGTATTTGTATTCCCAGTAGTTAGCCCAGCACCTAGCAGAAAATATGTGTTTAATAAATGCTTTTTCACCCATCCATACATCCATCCATATATTCATTCATAAGGATATTGCTTATAGTCTAGGCTTCTGCAGCAATACTTCTACCTGTATATCTTGGTTGGAAGTGCCAACCCCCCATATATTCAGACAGAACCCCTTCCACTTCTGTAAACAACTATAATCAAGTTGTTTCAGACTATAAAATTAATTTCATATTCACTATTTTCTCTTTCCCTGAGTCTACCACTTCCAGACTGAATCACTAAACAGAAGAGGCCAATCACATAGTAGCTTAAGTACTATTCCACTTATCACTATGTTAACTGGGTACATCTTCCAATCACAAAGTTTACCTAAAATGCTCCTTCATGTGAACTATCCTCTTCCATATAAACTTTTGGTTTCATCCAGGATACTTCCCAGTTCTCACTTATGTCAATACCATTCCATCCATGAATGACAACTTTAATGAATTCTAATCTGAATGGACCATCTTACAGGTCATCATCTAGCAAGCCAGAGCAGTCTATAAATCACAGCTAATTAGAAATAGTCTCATATATCTGGAGCTAGAAGGGACCTTAGGGACAATCTGGTGCAATCATTTTATAGATGAGAAAACTGAGGTTAGGAGAAGTGAAATAATTTGCTCAACATCACACAGGTAGTAAGATTCAGAAGCAAGATTTGAATCAAAGTCATCTGAAGCATTTGTTAAGTAACAACTAAGTATCAGGCACTGCATTGTGGATACAAAGACAAGCACTTACAAAAACACGTATAAGTGTGAGATGAATGAAAAGTCCAAGGGACAGAGTTGCTGGGTAATTAATAATCAATTCATTAATTAGGCTAGCTGATAATCAATAAATTGACAACTAGTGATTTCTCTCGGTAACCAAAGACAAAACTATGGAAATCCTGAATGCTTAAATACCTTTGGGAAAGGAGGTGCCCCTGACAGATGAAAATCAGCATTGACTGGTGAATGATTAATGAGGGGTGGGCATATTAATGAGAAGGACTAGGGAAGGACTAGGGAATTTATTTCCTTCCCACCAAATCCTTCAAGGAGTAGGGCAATTGCTTCCCCCTTCCTTTTACTACCACCCATCTCATACTAGAGAGTGAATTACAAATTGTAGCTCCCACACACCTTCAAGGTCTACCTACTTATCTAGCAAAGAATTGCAAAGTTGATGCCAATTGATTGTGGGATAGCTCAACAAGCTATAGTACATGACAGAAGTGAAATATTACTGAGCTGTAAGAAACAACAAACATGATGAATACAGAAAAGCATGGGAAAACTGAAATGAACTAATGCAAAGCGAAATAAACAGAACCAGGAAAACAATCCATATGACTACAGCAATGAAAGTGGAAACAACAACAACCAAAATTGATTTTGATCATGTGAAATCACAATGACTAATCTTGGTCCCAAAATAGAGATATAAAAAGATACCCGTCTCTGTCTCTACATAAAAATGGAGCATCATGGATGTGACATACTGCAAATTTTTTTTTACATACCATTTAGTTTTTTGGAACTTCTTATTTTTCATACTTTATTATAAGAGAGGAGAGTAGTATTTCATGGTGAATAGACAGCTGGCTTTGGAACTGGGAAGACCTGAGTTCAAATCTGTCCTACCTCTGACACACACTGGTTGTATGACTCTTTGCAAATCACTTGAACCTCTCAGTGATCTATGCAACTCTCTAAGATTATAATTTGTAGAGAAGGTTCCAATTCACCTTGGTAAAGAGAGTTTCTTCACACAAGTGTTCCTAAGACTTATAAAATAACAAAACCAGGCTCCATCCCTATACTATTCCTAGCTACCCCTCATTCCTATACTCTTAGTCAAATCAACAAGCATTTATTAAGTGCTTACGTTGGCCAAGCACTGTGGATACAAAGAAAGGAAAAAAAAAACCAGTCCCTTCCTTCAAGGGGCTCACATTCTAATCAGGGGACAAAATTCAGCAACTATATACATATAAGATATCTATAGAATAAACTAGAAGTAATGTCAGAGGGAAGGCACCAGCATGGGGAAGGGAGTAGGAGTTGGGGAGAAGAGACTGGGAAAGGCTTTTCTGCAGAAGATAAGAATCAAGCTGAGTTTTAAAAGAAGCTAGAGATGACAGGAAGCAGAGGAAAGGAGGGAAAACATAGCTCTCTGGGAGGTGAAGGGAGGAATACATTGGGAAAATATAGGTGATATAAAAACAAGATATAAAATATTTTTAAAGGCCACATCACTATCTCCATGTAGCTTTCTCTATTTCCTCCCCTATTTTCATACAATAAATAATTCCAAATAAGAAGGCTGGTCTCTGGGGTTGCTGGGACAAGCATCTGAACTTCTGGGTCCTTAGCCAAGACACCCAATCGAAAACAAAAATTGCATTATAGAACACAATGACACAGAGAGTTACCTGCAGAGTAACTGCTGCTGAGAGTTTCATCAGCTTGGATTCTCACTTCAAAGTTGTTTGTGTTTTCCAGGAACAGGTGCATGAAGGGGAAATAATATTCAAATCAGCTTCTGACCATTTCAGCTAAGAACAGATGAGCCTCGCTGGATCCAAATCTCCTCTACCCTCCTAGGCCCTGAGGTTGTTCTCATTTGTCAGTTTAATGGTTCATATTCTTCCAAACTGAGTGCTAACCTCCTGTGCCCACTGCATTTTTAAAACCATTCCCTCTCCAGAGACACCTTCCTCTGACTTTAGTGACAGCAGTTCTTCCCTCCCCCCACCCCCAGCCTTTCCCTATCTTAAATGATTTTCAGCATCCATAGTATAGTCTCTGAATGCAATGCTCCAGGAAGCCCATTTGCACACTTGACAGAAAAAAAAAAAAACTGTGTTTGTTTATGCAACTGGCTCAGTGAGCAAGGATGAGGAATTGAGTTATTTATTCAATGACTCAGGCCTTGATGACTAAATTGGAATTTGCTTCTGTACCTTGAGGGAAGGGGGAAAAGAAATCTACTCGATTAAATGGGGCTGCTCTGTGTCTCTCTCTGTGCCTCAGTCATGAGACTAGGCATGGGGTAATTAACTTCTGGGGAAAGGAAGCTGGCTGTGGACTCAGAAACAGAACCTTGCCAGACTCAGCAAGTGGCCCTGTCCTTCCTGGGCTTGCCTGAATTCCATTGGTCTCATGGGTTTTGCCTTTCCGATGTCATAATTTTCTAAATACAGATTTTCAATAAGCTCTAGCAACCATTCTGCTGTCCTATGCTTGTATCTTTCTGTCCATTTTTATCATGCATCCTGTTAATTTGAAATCTTACTATACATGTAATACTGTTCTAAGTACTTAAATAATTAGATAAATTATGCAAGACTTCCCTTGATCCAAGAATGGACAATCAGGTGGGGAAGAGTGAGGAGAGTAGGGATGATACCCAAGCTAAATAGCAATGGCAAATTGGTAATTCAATCAGTGACCAGTAAGGAAGTACTTGACCACCACACACCCTATTGACCCTCCCCCTCCCCCAACATACATAAACTCCCTTGTGCTTTTCCACACACCTATCTTGTGAAGCTAAGCACTACTGGGGATCATCCTTTCCCATTCCAAATATGAGCAGAAGTACCAAAGGTACTAGTACATTAAATCGGTTTTAGTGAGAATCTATCATGTAGCTAAGGACTGGATGTTGTGGGTAAAGGAAATATTGGATTATTTGGAGCAGGAGATACTGAGTCAAGGAAACCCCAAATCAATTAATGTTTCTTAAAAATTGTTTGTGTCCTTTGTTTTTGAAGAGGACCATCACAGAGTGATGTCTTGAATTGTGTGTAAATTGGATTTAAGTGAAGCAGAGTTGCACAAAGTCTTCACCCTTACTCTCTCTTCTACAGTCATCAAAGTCCAGTGGCAAGACAAGAGTCAGGAAAACTGGTGATGGCCTGGGATGCAGTGGATGACCTTGGCATCTTCTATGTCTGACTAAGTTCTAAGCACTAGCTGCCTTCATGGCTATTGGAATAAATTGTTCTCCTCTGCCCATTTCACTAGAGGAGTCTTCATATGCTTGGGGTAGACACCGCCCCCCCCAACTCAGCGATAAATCAGATGTTGGAAAATATCAGAGGAAGTCAGGAAGCCAGAGCTATAGCTGTAACAATGTGAATAGCTATTGTCTCCTGACTTTAGAATCTCCCACGGGGTATCACGTCTCCTCTTTTCTTTACTACCCTACTTGCCCTTTCTCTTGGCTATTTAAGCTCATGAAGTATTGAATATTGTCTACTTATGATTTTCTCCTTTATAATCACTTTACCAACTTTTTCATATCACAAACCTTTTTATGCGTTAATAACAAAAACAACAGCAACAACACTCATAATAACCATTTCAAAGTCAAATACATGTTGTGAGTAGAAATGAGTAGACAATGGCAAAATAAAGAGATCACAGCTGGGCTGGTGTATAGGGGAGCCTTTGTATGCTCTGAGTTATAGCTCTGTATGCTCTGTAATATAGCTGTGAAATCCTGGCAAAAACCCTGAAATGCTGGCTAGTTGGAGTCTTACACAGAGGCCAGCATGACTTAACTTCTCTAAATATAAGAAGTAGACAGGTATAATGAGGTTGCAGACTGACCCTTCTCTGAAATATCATGATGATCAACTTAGCACAAAGAGTAGGTGATACTCTTTTGTGTTCTGTTACTGCAAGAAAGTTAGATACATTAAATCAGAAATAACAATACCCTAACTCCTTTGAATGGTTCAATACAGATAGTGCTACCATCTAATGTGGGCAAACCACAAGTGTGCCTAAAATGAATGGAAGATTTGAATGATTTTTATTAAATGCCATTACTACAATCATAACAAACCTAGAAACAGAGATTACCCATTATAGGCAAAGGCTTCACATTATCTGTTGTCAAGGATATTATCAACTCTGAGTTATACAACAATGCATTGCAGATCAACAGCAGGGCAAACATAAGAAATAACTTCCTTCCTAACCCCAGATTAAATGAAACAGCAGCAGAAATTGATGAATTCCTTAAATCTGAAAATGAAAAAGCTAACAAACCTAAAGGCATTGAAAATCTTTGCTGAACTTCAAAAGTGGTGCCTAATAATGAAATAGATGGCAGAAAATGTGCTAATAACTTAAGTGATTTTGAAGAGGAGATGGGTATGCTTAGAATAATATTTTTAAAAGCCCTTTTTGTTTAATAATACAAATCCAACTAATAGGCCAAATATAGCCAAACAGAATAATTTTAAAATTGTGGTACTTTAATGAAAAAATATATTTTCCAACAATATTTGACACTGTAATGACATTTAAGGACTTGTATTCAATAGTTTGTACTGTGGTTATTGCTGTGGTAAGGGCTTTACGAGGAAAAATAGAGATATTGAGGTATATTTCTGAGGAAAGGAGTGATATACCCTAACGGCAAAAGTGGTTTGGGGAAACTATTGAAAAATCTGAAGAAAAACATTGGAAGATTACATTATTATCTATCTGAAATGTGCATTAGAATATTGGAAACAATATTGACCAGTTAAAGATGATGAAAAAGAAAAATGTGAAATAGAATCTGGAAAATAAAAATATACCACAGTCTTTTAAAAATTTAAAATAGTATTTTATTTTCCCCAATTACATGTTTAAACAATTTTAACATTGTTTTAAGTTTTGATTCCAAATTCTATCCCTCCTTTCCTCCTTCCCTTCACCACTCCCTGAGACAGTAGCAATCATATATGTACAATCATGTAAAACGTTTCCATGTTAGTCATTTTGTACAAGAAGATTCAAACAAAAAAGGAAAGAAAGAAAGAAAGAAAGGAAGGAAGGAAGAAAGAAAGAAAGAAAGAAAGAAAGAAAGAAAGAAAGAAAGAAAGAAAGAAAGAAAGAAAGAAAGAAAGAAAG